ATGTCGAACGCGGTGCGCTGGCGCAGGGCGTCGTTTTTCTCCTCGGAATCCTCCTGGAAAAAGTGGTCGTACTGTGGCAGATGGAGCGTCGCCAGGATGTACGGGACGCAGTCCTCGAGCCATGCCCAGAACACGTCCTGATGGTCCTCGCCTGGTGCCCACGCCGCGACGCACGGTATGAGCCGTGCTCGGATCATCATCAGGTGCCAGAAAGCGGGGTCCTCCTCGGGTTCGCCCCTGGCGCTCAGAGGGGTAGTGAGACCCGTGGGGCTAAAGCGGGGCACGACAGCGGGGCTGAAGCCGCCACTGCGTGTCTGGGCCTTGTCAGCGGCCCCGTCGAGGATGTGCTGCGCGACGGTCGAGGACAAGCTGAGGACGGACTGCGATGCATGTGTCGTAGTTGACGAGGGCGTGCTCGTAGGAGACATGCTGGTACTCGCCGTAGCCGTCGTAGTAGCCGTCGGAGTCCCAAGGGGACAGCGCGTGGGGCAGGGCCCCTGGTGCTGCTCAAGCCAGGCGCTCACGATGGCGCCCAGCGGCCCGGTGCCGCGCGGACCCGCGGCGGCGGTGCTGTTCACGATCGGGTCCAAAATGGCGCAGTGATCGTATTTGTAGATGCTGTCATCGTAAAGGTAGAAGAGCGTCCCACGTTCAGCGTGTCGCAGGAAAACCTCTCCTCCGTGCTGAGGCGCACCGCCTGAAGACGGGTGTGCTCCAGCTAACGAGGGGAGGGCCAGGCTGCAGGCAAGGCGCCACATGATGGCGAGGCCTGGCGGGCGGCGCGAGCGATGAGCCGAAAGCTGCATGTCAGCACACGTCCTCAAATACCCCTGAATGCTCATGTACATTGCTACAATCACGCCCCCTGCAAGACTACGGGTGTCCCTACACCAGATAGCTTGCGCGTGCTGCTGCCAAAACAGACATGAGGTGACAAGAAAGAGATACGACGCGAAGAGGGGAGAGATGCCTCTGAAGGCGCTTCCTCGGAGGGCTGAGGCGGGCTCTCTGAGGCACCTTCAATAGGGTTCCTGGGTGGCCCGACCCTTGTCCTTGCCTTTGTCGGCCCCTGGGGGCCCCGTCCCTGGGGTGACCTGGCCTGGCTGGTCGATCCAACCGCAGGCAGCCACGGGTTCGGCGGCCGCTGCAGCTTCCTCCTTCTTGGTTTCCAGAGTGGCCACTTGTGGCAGGTGGATGGTGCCTCCCGTGAGGTGCCCGAGGAGGGTCTGGATGTCGCCGCGCAGTGCAGCGGCGTCGGCGGTTGCCATCTGTTGCTGGGTGACGACGGTGGCAAGCCCCCGTTCCAGCCCTGAAACGTGCTCCGTGAGTGTGGCCTGGGAGGAGAGAACGCCCGCAAGCTGCACCTGCATGTTATCCACCGTGTTGGCTAGCAGCTCGTGCTGCTGTTCCATGTGCTGGATGCGGGTCGTGGCAGCGTCAGGCGGTTTAGAGGCCGATGCGAAGCACTCGCCGAAGGTGTTGAGTTCGTGGGAGGCCACGCTGTATTCATCACCTGATGAGAGGATCTCGACGTCGTCGACGTCGCCTGGTACTTCAGCGGCTGTGGCAGCGTCGCCTTCGGTGTGGCCCCCACCTTCTGCCGCCGCCGTGCCAAGCCAGGAGTCATGGCCACCTGATCCTGGGGCGGCCCTCGGTTCAGCGGCTCCGTCCGTGCCGTGCGGGGGTGCGGAAGAGCTGCGGCCTGGGGCGCAGGGTGACCTTGCGTGCGGCGTGGCGTCACGTTTCCCGCTGGAGGAGCGGTGGCGCTTGGCTGAAGGCTCCTCCTTGGGGATCAGGAGCGGTGCGACGCCCTTGCCTTTGGGCGTGGCAGTCATGAGGTCGTGGAGGTAGGGGCTCTGGGCCGCTTTGGTGAGGAGTGTGCCGGTGGCGGGGCTAAAGCCGCCACCACCGGCTGGCGGCGTCACAGGCTCTGTGATGGTGGTAGGCGTGACGATGGTAACGTTGTCCCGCTTCGGCACCACCTCAGCCAGCGGGGCCTCGGTGATGCTCCACGGGATGGGGCACCCCGCGACCTGTACCGTATAGGTGAGTGGGGGCCGATGGGCGCGCACTAAGGCAAACTGGGCCGCAGTGGCTGGGTCCCAGGCGGCGTGGTAGACCTCACAGTCCCATTTAACGGACGGGCCCGTGAGAGTCTTGGCGAGCTGGGTCAGCGTGGCGTGACGTGCCGCAATGCCAGTGATGCGGTAGCGCGTCTTGGCGAGGGTAGCCTCGCAGCCACGGATGCTGACAGCAGCAGCCTTGGCGACGTCGGACCCCCGTGGAACACGGATCCCCAGTAGGCCTGACTTGCCGTGCCTGACGACTCCCAGGGCCTTGAACTCCACCGACTTCTGGAACGCGTCTGCCATCGTGATGGGCTGGTCCTCAGGGAACCAAACGGTCTGATACTTGTCGGCGGTGGGCTCGTCTGCACCTACATTGCTGAGGTCGTAGGTGGCACCGAGTTGCCCTGATCCCGCCAGGACCTTGTCGACCGCTTGGAGACTGACGCCGAAGGTGGCAGCCAGGGACCTCTTTCCGACGCCCGATCCAAACCTGCCTAGGCTTTTGCAGGGTTCGAGGATGGTGACGGCTTTAAAGTTGCCGTGGAAGAGGGCCTTGAAGGTGTCCTGAAGCTGACTATCGAGCTCCTGGCGGCGAGCGTCTTTCTTGGACTCCCTGTGCTTTTGGTTTTGGCGCGCCTTGTCCTGTGGGGCGGAGTCCCCTCGAAAAGGGCCCTTGGCGCGTGGACCACCGTTCACGGGGGCACCTCCCGAGAACTGGTCCTCGAAGGCCTGGTGCATGGAGGGGACTGCGGCAATGGCCTCGGTCTCGTGTATGGTCGCCCGAATCCAGCAGACGTGGTCGGCAGGGTCGATGGTGGCGACGGCTACTTTTTCCGTGCAGGCGACCTCCTTGGTGCCCAGCTGGTACACGGTCACGGGGACGTGCGTGTGGACCACTTTGGGCGCCTTGGGGTGACGCTTCAGGACGGGGACGGCGAGCTCGGTACCGACGTAGTTGTCGTTTTTAGGGCCCATGACAGCAATCGCGAGCTGGCCCGTGGCTCGCTTGCCCTGCTCGAGGTGGTGTTGCAGCAGCCGTTCACCACTCTCGTAGTCGTGGAGGCTGATGCTGGGCTTGTACGTCTTGCCGTCGTCAGGTGATGTGGGTTCGGCAAGGACAGGGACCTTCCAAAAGGCAGGGTCCAAGGCGATGAATTGGGTGTCCGCAGCCTGAAGACGTGCGGAACCCGCTGGTGGGTGTGATGTGTCACCGCCAATGCGCTTAGGCTTGCTGCGCTGGTGATGATCGAGCGTGTAGCTAATCTGGTTGGCGGCGCACATGCGGATCAGGGCGCTGCCAAGCTTCTTCGTGTTGGACTTGTGCATGTCGTACGTTGCCTGGAGCTCGTCCGCGTTCAGTTCGGCAAGCCCGTTGTATGCGGCCGTGGGGCGGTCAGACCCCGCTTGCTTGAACGCTGCGATGCAGTCCTGCTTGCGTTGAAGGAGAGACCCTTCAGCAGCAGGGCGCGTGGGACGGGAGCTCGGAGGCTGCTTAGAAGAGCGACGGCGCTCCGGCTTCTTGGGGGCCATTGCTGCGGGCGCTCTGGTGAGGAGAGGTGACGCGAATCAGTAGGGTCCTGCTGGGACCCCTCCGGTCTCGCGAGGCCTGGGAGTCTGACTCCGAGGCGGGGCGCTTCGCGTCGCGGCTGCGGTCTGAGTGCTGGGCACTCTCGAGCCGAGACTAGAGAGAGAGAGAGAGAGAGAGAGAGAGAGAGAGAGAGAGAGAGAGAGAGAGAGAGAGAGAGAGAGAGAGAGAGAGAGAGAGAGAGAGAAAGAAAAAAAGAAAGAGAGAGAGAGAGAGAGAGAGAGCCTGGCGAGGCTGGGGCCCGAAAGCCTCGACAGCGAAAACGAGCAACTTCGCGCGGGCGCCATCGCCGAACAAACGCACGTTGCCTGCAGGGCGACCCGGTGACGAGCGCAGTCTCGGGCCCTGGGCGCTGCCCCCCCCCCCCCGATGCGGCGCGAGGGGCATGGGCGGCGCGTCGGCGCGAGCTGAGGCCGACCATTTCAAAGTCAGGCGCGCGCTTCTCGACAACGATCACAAACATCAAAGGACAGGAGAACAGGGTGAACATCAGGATTGTTCCGGGAGCAGCACGCGCTGCGTTCGGTTGGCGTAGAAAGCCCGGCCAGCAGGATCGCCCGCGCGGCCGCCTCGCCCCGCGCGCCCCGTTCCACGCGGCGGCCGAACGCAGGCGCGCTGGCATCGTTGCGCGCAGCCGCCTCCTCCCGCTTGGCCCGCGCGACAAGGGGGACGAGCATCTTGCGTGGCCGGCAACCTTGCGCGCCATCGCGGCGCTCCTCCGCCCTCCGGAGATTGCCTTCAGACCGCGCTCGAGCGCGCCCGCAATCTCCGACGGGTCGCCGCCGCTCGCGCCCGCGCTCGGGTTGCCCATCAGGTCTAGGGCCCTTCGCAAAGGGTTTGTCGGTCTGGTCGTCTCGGACCTCGTTCGCCCCTGGGCTCGTGCGTCTCGGAGCGCGCTGCTTCCTCGGCCTCGGGGCGCCTGGCCCAGCGCCCTCCGCTCATGCCGGGCGGGCGGCCGGGTCGCGCCGCCCTCGCGCTCTCGCTGCCCCTTTCCACGCGAGCGCCAGGGCGCCTTGCAATCGTCGGCCGTCGACGCGCGCGCAGTCCGCAGTTCCCCGGCCGGCGGCCCCCCCGAGCGGCCGACTTTTCTAGGCAGCGAGCGAAGGGGCGGGGGCGAGCAGGGGAAGGCCGTCTCAGAAGGCGGCGGGGCTTCTCAGAAGGCCTCCGGCCTTCTGTAAAATTCACTGCGCCTCTGGGAAGGCTTAGAACTCTCAATATTCTCAGACAGCGGGGGAAATTCCAAGCCGCCTGAGAAGGCCCGCCACGGCTCGCCCCCCCTGGGCTCGCCGCCGATCCCTGGCCGTGGACCCCGCCTCCGTGCGTCGACGCTTGGAGACGCCACTAGCCTCGGGCGCTTGGTCGAGGGGGTCCGGCCCCGACGCCGCCGCGCCGCCGCCGCCCGCCATCTCTGGGACGTGGCCCGCCGTCGCCCACGAACGGCCGTCGCCGGATGGGCGGGCAGTCCGCCGGCCCCGCGCGCGGCTTTCGAGCGCCGCGGCGACGGCCTCCGCCATCTCATGAGATAGAGCGGGGATGGGCGAGCCGCTGGCGGGATGGCGGGTGGAGGTGGCGGCTGCGCGGCTGGCCGGCGCAGGGTCGTTGGCCGGGGCGTTCGCTGCTCCTGCTGCTGGCCCGCGACCCCGCCCATCTGCCCCAGCGCGCCCGCGGGGCCCCCCTTGGTCTGCGCGGAGGGGGGCGCTGCGACCAGCGGCCAATGGCGCCGCTGAGGCGAGATGCGCGGCCGCGCCCTTGGTCCGTTCCTTCGGCCCATGGGCCCCCGCCAAATCGGCGCCGGCAGCGAGCGTCCTCGCGCGCGCCGAAGCGGGTTGCGACGGCGAGCGGAAATATGTCAGACCGCTGCAATATTGTTCAGTCTGGGCAAGAATATCTCGAGGCTCGGGAACCAGGCGCGCGCGCGCCCGGGCGGCGATGTGGAAGCAGCGCGATCTCAACTCAGCCCGAGGCCCAGGAGGGGGCGCATCGGACCAGGCTCGCCGTGCGCGGCGGGGGCACTCGCGCGGGCGAAAAGGACAACGCGTCGATGCAAATCGCTGCCAAACAAGTCTGAGTGGGGCCAGATCGTAGGTCCCCCAGCGGTGCACTCTGCCCCCTGGGAGTTCCCCTCTGGCCTGCTGCCCCGACGCGCTCGCGGCCACCTCGCGGCGGGCGCGCGCGCGGGGGGGGGGGGGGGTTCTGTCGCGGTGCTGGGCGCCCCCCGGGAGCGCCGTCGTTCCGCGCTTATTGCGCACCTGGGAGGGGCGCGCGCTGGCCCATCTCCAGACGCGACGCCGCCGCCCTCCCGCGCGCGCGGGGGGGGGGGGCCCGCGGGCGCGCCATCCGATGGGGCCCTTCCAGCCGCCGCCGCAATCAACCGCGAGCATGCGCGGCGGTGCCCGCTCGAGACCATCGCCGCACATTTTCCGGCGCATGCGTTTTTTTTTTGTCCAAGCAGATTCCAATTGCACGCGCCATGTCACTCTTGCTCACGGAATGCCGCGCGTAGGATCTCGCCCGCAGAGTTGCCCTCCGATTTGCAGTCCTTGTTCGTTCGAAGCACGTGCTCCCCAACCTATATGCCCTATGCCCGCGGGCCCGGCGGGGGCCCTTCGGATCCTGCCAGGAAAGAACCGCAATCCCACGCGCGCCCATCGCAGCGCCTCCCAAGACGGCGATGAAAACTACGGTTTCGGAACATCGCGAATGCGCGACAAACGGAGATCTCGCCCCGTCTCGGAAAAAGCCAGTTCAAGGAACTCCAGATCAGTGGGGTGGGGGTGCCCTCGCCCGCCTGTCCTGCGTCGGCGCCAACGCGCCGGGCCCTGTCAATCCGCGCCCACGCCGCGCGCGGCAGCCCCCTTTCGGGGGAGAAGAGAAAGGGGGGGGGAGGGGGGGGCGCGGCGTCCCGACCGCGGCGCGCCGTGGAAAATCCCGCATATCCCGCGTTTAAACCTGGCTGGTCCAGGCCGCGCAGGCATCGCAGGACACGCGCGACTAGATAAAGATGACGTTGGGATGGTATACCAACCAGCGCGCGAATGGGCACGGGCCGCTGGCGGCCTCCAGAGGGACAGATCGCATCGCCTCTCGCAGGCTTGAGCTTGATAGCGGCATTGAAGTGCGATGGATGCTCGCGCGCGAAATGCCTCTGGGAGGGCCCGCGCAGACTCTTCGGCATAGTTGCATCGCATCTGGAGCGGCGAAGGGTGGCGGCGCGGGGAACTGGAGCTCGGGACACATAATGGGCGGGGTCAAACAACTGCTGGCGTCGGGGGCCTCATCTTCCACAGGGGGCAGCAGCGTGACCTTTCTGTCCCTGGATGGCGTCTGCAAGGGCGGCTGGTCCAAGTGGCCCACGCGCGCGCGCTGATTCTCCGGGGCCAATCATGCGCCGCATGCGCCGCCCACCCCGACTTCCAGTTCAAGTCGAGAGCTGGGAAGCGGCGGGCAAGCTCGACTGATCAATGCCGGCCCGTGGCAACCTCTTCCTTCCAGCTGCGAGCAAAGCCATCGGATTTGACTTGGAATGGGGCAATCGCGCGCGCGTTGGCGCGGGCTCACTGCCCGCCCTCGCCGCGGGCCGATCGGTCGAGCCCCGTGGCGCCCAGCGAGTGCGCCAAGCTTCTGATGTCCACGCTCTCCGGGCCACCCTTCAACGGCGCGCTCTGCTGTTTGATCGCGATCTTAGGCTGGGCCGCGACCCCCGCGGGCCTCTCGAGAATAAGCGCGCGAAGGATGCCGCGAGAAAAAACGCGAGCATTCTTGGGCGGGGCACCTCGCAAATCCATCGTCGGGTTGGCGCGATCTGCGAAACTGCGCTGGCCGCGAGAGTTAGCTGGCAAGGTGGGG